AATTCACATCAGGGTCAGAAAATAACCTGGGCTCAAGGCAATATGTTACAAAGTGACAAAATGCCTTTCATTTTTTTTCTTCTATTTTTCATTATATTGAATTCTGTGCTTATTTAGTAATTGTAATGTGGGGTTTGGATTTTGTTTCTTGTTCATGTTTTCATGTCTTTTATTTTGGAGTTTAGTCATGGTCCCTGTTTGTGTTTTGCTTCCCTTGCCCTCATGTATTCCTGCTATTGGTTCCTCTGTTCATTGTGTCATGTTCTGATTGGTTGTCTTGGTCATGTGTCTTGTTTCCCATTGGTTTGTTCTTGTCATGTGACCCTCCTTGTTTGCTTTAAGTAGCCATCATGTTGTCATTGTGCCTCGTCGTGTATTGATTATGTAAACTGCTGTTGGTGAGTCTAGTCTGTTCATGCCTAGTTAAGTCTGTTCATGCCTCGTCAAGTCTGTTTTTGTTTCTTGTTCATGTTTTCATGTCTTTTATTTTGGAGTTTAGTCATGGTCCCTGTTTGTGTTTTGCTTCCCTTGCCCTCATGTATTCCTGCTATTGGTTCCTCTGTTCATTGTGTCATGTTCTGATTGGTTGTCTTGGTCATGTGTCTTGTTTCCCATTGGTTTGTTCTTGTCATGTGACCCTCCTTGTTTGCTTTAAGTAGCCATCATGTTGTCATTGTGCCTCGTCGTGTATTGATTATGTAAACTGCTGTTGGTGAGTCTAGTCTGTTCATGCCTAGTTAAGTCTGTTCATGCCTCGTCAAGTCTGTGTCTCGGTTTATGTTTGTATTTTGGATCACGTTTGTGAATAAACTGCACATGGGTTCTTCACTACGCTCACCTCCAGTGGACTGAATCGTTACAGAATACACGACCATCAAAATGAACCCAGCAGATCATATTGTTCGCCTCCGACAAGGTAATCGCTCCATCGAGGAGTATGTGGAGGACTTTTGTGGGCTTTGTCACCAAGTAGATTTTAATGAAACGTTCCTTAAGGACATTTTTCGTTTTGGTTTAAGTAAGGACATGCCACGTAATACCCCACACTGGTCACTAGAACAGTATATAGACTTTGCTCTGCAGTTGAGTGGATCTGCTTTCACTGTGGGTGTCATGGAGAAGGAACATGACACTTCCCAAAAGTCTGCTCACGTCATGCCTGCCAAGCCACAGCCTGCTCACGTCATGTCTGCTACGCCAAAGCCTGCTAACGTCATGCATGCTATGCCAAAGCCTGCTCACGTCATGTCTGCCAAGCCACAGCCTGCTCACGTCATGCCTGCTACTCCAGGACCTGCTCACATCATGCCAGTTAAGTCAAAGTTTACTGCTGTCATATCTACCAAGTCAAAGCCTGATCACATCATGTCTGCCAAGCCAGAGTCTGCTAACATCATGTCTGCTACCCCAGGGCCTGCTCACGTCACGTCTGCCAAACCAGAGCCTGCTCCCATCATGTCTGCTACGCCAAGTCCTCTTCACGTCACGTCTGCCAAGCCAGAGCTGCTCACATCATGCCGGTCACTCAGGAGATTCTTCACAATATGGCCGCCATTGAAGAGCTTCGTTGCAATATGGCCGCCATGCCTGAGTCGGACGCGGAGCTTGGCCTTGGACTGAAAGGTCTGATAGCTAGTGTGATGGACCCACCTCTGATGTCGGTGCGAGCTGCGGGCATCCCCATAACATCAGTGCTCTCAAGCCCAACCATCCTAGAGGTCCTGCCACCCTCTGCTGCCCTTACTGTAATGGCGGTCGCCATTTTAAACGTGTGGGCTGTACACTGCGCTCAAGAGGACTCTCCTGTCCATGAATCTGCCCCAGTGGCCTCTCCTGCCTATGAGTCTGTCTCAGAGCCCTCTCCTATCCACGAGTCTGCTCCAAGGGCCTTTCCTGTGCATGAATCCGCTGCAGAACCTCCTCCTCCACAGACTGTCTTGTCACGGCCACGGAGGCCGTTCACAAACTCACTGTCTGCCCTGTCACGGCCACAGAGGCCACTCACGAACTCCCAGTCTGCCCTGTCATGACTAAGAAGGCCGTCCATGAATTCACTGCCTGTCCTGTTACAGCATGGAGGCCGTTCATGAACTCACTGTCTGTCCTGATATGGCCATGGAGGCCGTTCATGAACTCACTGTCTGTCCTTTCACGGCCAAAGAGGCCATTCAAGAACTCTCTGCTTGTTCTGTCTCAGTCAAGTGGTCTGTTCATGTCTCTGCTCCGCCATGGCTCCCTGCTCTGCCTGCACCGCCATGGCTCCATGCTTCTATGGATCTGATCCATGGCCCAGGTCATCCAGTGTTCCACAGTCTACTACTGCCCCATGATCCTGGTCCACCACTGCTCCTAGCTCCAAGCCCGCCATTGCTCCACACTCCAGGTCCTGTTCCTTTTCACGGGCCTGGCCCTCCGTCCCTCCCCCAGTTCCGCCTCCACTCCACCACCCTCCTGGACTTTTTGGATTTTGTTTGGGCATCTGGAGCCGCCCTTAGAGGGGGGGGAAATGTAATGTGGGGTTTGGGTTTTGTTTCTTGTTCATGTTTTCATGTCTTTTATTTTGGAGTTTAGTCATGGTCCCTGTTTGTGTTTTGCTTCCCTTGCCCTCATGTATTCATGCTATTGGTTCCTCTGTTCATTAGGGCCTTTAGCACCGCTTTAGTTCCAGAATTAAATGTACAGTACTAAAGTACTGGGACGATTTTGCGCAAACTATTTCCCAGTACTATTTAAAGGGTTGCATTCGCACTGAGAGTGTGTACTAAGAAGTGACGTAAGTCGGTCGACAGCGACGTCATTTGTGCGTGGCGTTCAACAACAGAAACAAAAAAGAACAACATTAACAACAGGATGCTGTGATTGGAGCTGTTTTTTTGTGGTGTCTTGCAGGTTTCACAATAATGAACATGGAAAGTCGACGTATACGTAAAGCAATTGAAAGAACGGAAAGGAGGACAAAGAATCTCCAACGACAACTGGCAATGCTACATTTGCTACAAGTGCCTGCACTTCAGCGTCCGTCCATCTATCACTGTTCTCCATACTTGCGAAATAAGTTGACAATGTTTACAGTATGTTTACACAGCGTTTTAAATCATGGCAGGTGAGGGCGTTTTCATACGCGTTTGGCCAATCAATGTCTACTTACGTCACGATTAGTACCAGTTGTGCTGGTTAGACGTAAGCCGGTCGACAGCGACGTCATTTGTGCGTGGCGTTCAACAACAGAAACAAAAAAGAACAACATTAACAACAGGATGATGGAGGATGCTGTGATTGGAGCTGTTTTTTTGTGGTGTCTTGCAGGTTTCACAATAATGGACATGGAAAGTCGACGTATACGTAAAGCAATTGAAAGAACGGAAAGGAGGACAAAGAATCTCCAACGACAACTGGCAATGCTACATTTGCTACAAGTGCCTGCACTTCAGCGTCCGTCCATCTATCACTGTTCTCCATACTTGCGAAATAAGTTGACAATGTTTACAGTATGTTTACACAGCGTTTTAAATCATGGCAGGTGAGGGCGTTTTCATACGCGTTTGGCCAATCAATGTCTACTTACGTCACGATTAGTACCAGTTGTGCTGGTTAGACCCTGCTCCGGAGTAGGAGCTAATTTGGTTCTCGAAAAAGGCAGTCCAGTACTAAAATTGCATCCAGTTCCGGCGGTGCGAAAACGCCAAAAAGGGGGTAGTTTCACAATTAGTTCTGGTACTATGAAAAGGTTCCCGTGGTGCGAAAGGCCCTATTGTGTCATGTTCTGATTGGTTGTCTTAGTCATGTGTCTTGTTTCCCATTGGTTTGTTCTTGTCATGTGACCCTCCTTGTTTGCTTTTAAGTAGCATCATGTTGTCATTGTGCCTTGTGATGTATTGATTATGTAACCTGCTGTTGGTGAGTCTAGTTTGTTCATGCCTGGTCAAGTCAAGTTTGTGTCTCGGTTTATGTTTGTATTTTGGATCACGTTTGTGAATAAACTGCACATGGGTTCTTCACTACACTCGCCTCCAGTGGACTGAATCGTTACAGTAATGTACCACTGCTTATGTAGAGTAGATGCAGTAAATATCTGACATATGTATTTACTCAGAGGCACATTATGAT